TACTCCCTCTAATTAGTATGTGAGGAGGAATAGCTTTTTAAATAAATATTTTAGAGGTTAAATACTTCCCAAACAAATGTGTTAGAAACAAATGATATCTGGAACTTGATGTTTCTGTGCATACATGACTTTCCCCGAGGAGGTCATGCATTGGTAACTGTGTTTCCCTTTGAAATGAAATTCTTTGGCCTAGAATAGAGAGGAGCTTAAGAGAATAAAATGGAGAGCCAGGACTCAGGTCTGCCTCCCAGTATTTGTCAGGTGTAATGGCCAACCCATCGCAGTTTAAGGGAAAGTGGTTGGTGGCTCTCGGCCTAGAAAGCCAACTTTGAATTTTCTACCCTCCATAACAAGGACATGCCAGTCCCTTTTGTGCCTCACCAAACAGCTGAGTAAGGCAGCCATGGCTCCTAACAAGCTGAGAAAGTGTTTTTTCCACTCCTTGTAAAGTTTTCATGGTGGAACCCACAGCTCACATCTATCAGGTTTCAGCCGGGATTTGACCCAGCATTCCATTGTCACAAATACCCCGTTTGCCTGGCTTTATTGAGTATGTGATCTATGGCGCATGCACTCACATGGGTCCTCGCCACATTTTTATCCCCTTGAAGTGCCAGGAACCCAGCATGCTGTCTGTGGAAGGTTCATTGGGATTTAACAACATACTTTCGTATGACATAGCTGCCAAAATGAGAAAAATTGCTTCAACCAGCAAAGTGAAAAAAAATACCACCTGGTGTTTTTCACAGTATCGATCCAAATATCAACTTTTGCATGGATAGTTGAATTTAAATGATAAAATAATTAATTATAATATTTTAGAATAGAACTACATGAAGAACTTAGAAAATAGGAAAGCGATCCATCATGCCATCACCCAAATGCAACATTTTCTTCTGGTCTTATTTTTTATGTAGCTATATCATGGAATAATGCACATTTTACCAATGAACATTCTCAGGGATGCTTCCATATTGCTTCATAGCTATCACTTTTAATATCTTCTATTACCCATTGGAGTGGATATGGCATTATTTAATCACATAAAAAATCTATCTTGTTTCTGATTTATTTTGTCATTATTGGGGAAACCATCACAGGTCGTTTGCATTTTTGTTGCCAGTAGAAACCCAAGTTCCCAGGTCCTGTTTAAACCATGGCGGCCTCGGGGGCATCTGTTTCCATTTCACTAATGTGATGTCATAGTGGCCTTAAAGTGACCAGTCATTGATTTTTTTTTAAATAATTTTTTGAGACTGTGATATCTCTCCTACAATTTAAGTCAAAGTTTAGAAAAGTCTCCAAAGCAGAAAACCACAGTGCTTTCTCTCTTGGTATCCATACCACCTTATTTATTTATGCCCACAATGTGTGCTGGTAACAGAACTGAAGGAGAAATTGATTTTGAGAGACTGGCTCTTTTGAAGTTGCTCAGAGAGAAGCAGCTTGAGGAAACTGTAGACTGTCTGTGGCCTAGAGCAAACCCTCACCCAGCATGCTTATGGAGAACCTGTACAAGTGTTTGCCTGTCTACAGAACTATATAAAGATTTAGGTGCTATGTCATTTTTAAAAAAATATATTTTTATTGACTTCAGAGAGGAGGGGAGAGGGATAGAGAATTAGACACATCAATGATGTGAGAGAATCATTGATCGACTGCCTCCTGCATGCCCCACACTGGAGACAGAGCCTGCAATACGGGCATGTGCCCTGATCGGGAATCGAACCATGACCTCCTGGTTCACAGGTCAACACTCAAACCACTGAACCATGCTGGCTGGCTGCCATGTCTTGATGGGGACTGATATTTTAGTGTCGAGCTAGTGAACTGCAGGTGGCTAATGTCCACTTCTAGACAGATCTGATCTAAGATGAATGCAGGTTGTCCGGGGTAGAAATCTTTATACCAGTAGATGCAGCATTTCACATTGTGGCAGGGCTGTTTTGTTACTGGGGAAAAGGAGAAATGAGTGAGCGGTTTCATTTTTTAAAACACTTTACAGGAACTCCTTAGCTTGAGTTCACAAAGGAAGCTTTAGAATTCCAGAGCAGTGTGAGAGTTTGGGGGGGCGGGGGTAATAAAAGTTCCCCTCTCCATGCCGGGGGAAAGAATAGTGGATTTTGAAACCGGAATTGTCACCTCTGCAACCTCGTCACAATTCATCTCCGGTTCAGCACTGAAAGAGGAGGATGGACTCTTTGGTCCTGTGAGGAAGGGAAAGCTGCACTGGGTTATGCTGGGTTTGCCTTTCAGCTCCGAGCGAGGAGATGAGCTGGGTGGTGTCCGCCTCAGTGCCCATTCATTCACACCGCCAAGCAACTGCACAGTTGACAGTCGTTCTAAAGGGGGGAGGGTGCAGGCAGACTGAGGGCATTTATAAGGTAGTGTCCTGGTCCTGTAAAAGCAAGTGTTGTTTCAGGTCAGGCAGACTAACAAAAAGGCAGGTGGGTATTTGGAATAGTATTTGTATCTCACTTGTTTCTATTGGAAAAGAAATAGTGACTCTTCCCTCACTGTGTGCTCTGGCTCTGACCCAATGCCTACAGGTCAGGGATAGAAACAGGGAAGATGAGCAGACAAATAAGCATCTGAAGTGCCACCTAACTGAATGCCTCCACCTGCCCCATCTTCAGGGCGCTTTTGAAGAGCTAATATATAGAGGATAGCCAGTAAGCAAAAATGAGAAAATGATGGAGAATAAGGACCTTCGGGGGTAGGGGAACTTCAGTCCCTGAAATGTTAAAGATTCCTATTGTGGGAGTGTTGAGGCAGGGCCCCCGCACACTGTGAGGTCTAAACCCTGATACAAGGTTCCGCAGAATCAGGTCTGAGGGGGGCAGGAGATGGGAAGTGGGCCATGGGGGACCCTGTCTAGAACGTTACAGCACCTAGTTAATCGGCAGCCAGTCCATCACATTAAATATCCAGCCGTCATGTATTACCTTTCAAGTGAAAATGAATAACTCCCATTAAGAGCAAAATGGGTTTGAAGTCGATTCGAGACAGATTAAAGTACTGTTATGAATGTGTGTGTGGGGAGGAGGAGAGGTCTGTGTGTAATATGCTTGTCCTTGTACTTTTTAAATAATAGATGTCCTACAAACTTATGTAGAGCAGGTTACCAAGATACTGGGGTTAAAGGTCACAAGATGTGCATTCAGGGAAGAGTATCAACTTCCTGGAATATTTCCTGCATTTAGCAATTTTTTTTCTCTCAAAATTATCTTGTGGCCTTATGATTTTAATGAATAAAATTGATTTATAAAATTGTTTATTAAAGCACATGTCTGTAATGACAGCATCTTGGTATCCATGTCCAAAAAAAAAAAAAAAAATCTCGAAGCTGAGCAGACAGTGTTTCCACCTGCCAGGTACCTAGGCTGGGGGAGGCAGAAGGCCATAAATTAGGCTTTCCAAGCCAGTGACTTCAGTGCTGAGTCAAATTATTTTCCAATGGAGGGCAGCAGGGATAATTTCCTCACTACCGACTTCAGGATATTTTTTCCTTGTTGCTTTTAGCAAAATTATAAAAAATGGAGTTCCACATCCAAAACAAGTGAGAGAGCCAACCCCGGCTCCAGGCAGGTTTCATAATGACAGGCCCAGCCGTGTCTTGTGACTACACTGGAGGAGCCCTGCTTTCTCCTGGTTAAACTCTGAGCCACCTGTCTTCTCATCCGTCTTCCCAACCCCTTTCCACGCTCCAGAGAACGCCTTCCACCAGCACGTCCATCCCCGCTGCCTGCTACGGAAGACTCGCCTGACTCTCCTTTTTAATTAAAGTTGTGGTCTTCGGGTGGAGTGGGGTTCTCAGAACATGGTCTGGACAAACAGATGGGAAATGTCCTCTCTTACCACTCACTCTGAATTAACTTTGTGTCTGGAGCACTGCTAGATTGGAAGTTACGTAGATTCACCCCCTGCCTCATTCCACTCTTCCATTACTTCTCCTCCCCTCCCTCACACTTCCCCCCCCCCCTTCCCACCAACACAGGGCGGGGCAAAAGCAGGTTTACAGTTGTGAGCATGCATAACACAGAGTTTATTCTTGCATTATTATTAATTAACTAGAGGTGGTAGGGTCCCTAGGCATGACCTGTGGGGATCTAGCCAAAACCAGCAGTCCGGTATCCCCTGAGAGGTCCTGGAGTGTGAGATGGTGCAGGCCAGGCCGAGGGACCCTACAGATCCATGCACTTGGTCTCTAGTATGCATATAAGATCTTTGTTTAATCTCTTCCCGCCTTTCCCCTTTCCCCCTTTTCTCTGAGATTCATCAGTCTGTTCCATGTTTTCATGCCTGTGGTTTCTGCTCCTGCCTTGAATGCCCCCTGGTGGTCAGTGCATGTCATAGCTATCGGCTGGTCACTGGTCAGCCGGTTGCTTAGGCTTTTATACATAGAGATTATGAATTGCTTCCCATACAGACACTTGTAAGCCTACTTTTGCCTGCTCTGCATTTGTGTGCAGATGTCTGTATGAATGTTCCTCAGGTCACACTGATCGTGTCCTCCGTGATGTGCTGTGATTCCAGGAACTGCGACAGTAAAGCTGGGGGCACGTAGTTTATTACCTCTGAGAAGCAGTGTCTGGTACTCAGGTTGACGAGTGGTTTTAGTGAAGCATTTGGGGAGATTCTTACACCCACCCTGTGCCCACAAGTCAGCAGATTGTGTCTTGGTTGGAGGAGTTCAGAATAGACTGAGTGAACTGAGCTTTATCCGACTCAGCCTTGTCATCCATTTCTTTACCATTTTTCCTTAGTGTTCAGCTGTTAAAGTAGTAACAGAAAATTCATGGTGTGGGGAGGGGTGGAGAGAAACATTTGCTGCTTTTCCAGCGTACTTGATAAGTCAGTCTGGATGCTCATCCTGCTTAGATTTTGGTGTTTCAAGAAAATCCTGTGCTATAAATGAATGTTGATTTTTACCCAACACAAAGCATCCAGGAGCTGGCCTAGTCTGGCTGCTATATTGCATCTTCTGCTTTTTCTTCCAGCATCGTCCAGCCAAGCAGAAAAGGAGCTGACAGACTCTCCTGTAACCTCCAAGCGCATCTCCTTCCCAGGTAGCTCAGAGTCTCCTCTCTCTTCGAAGCGACCAAAAACATCGGAGGAAACCAAAGCAGAGCAGGTGAGGTGGAAAGGGGCTCTGAGGTGGGGGTAGTATTTCAGACATAGGTGGGAAGGAACTCCTGGGTGGGCGGGCTTGGGGATGACTTGGCTGCCAGTGGGAACTGAAGACTCAGCCAGAGGGATGGATGTGTTCCCCACAGATGTACCAGTGTCCCTACTGCAAGTACAGCAATGCTGACGTCAACCGGCTTCGGGTGCATGCCATGACACAGCACTCAGTGCAGCCCATGCTCCGCTGCCCCCTGTGCCAGGACATGCTCAACAACAAGATCCACCTCCAGCTGCACCTCACCCACCTCCACAGTGTGGCACCGGACTGCGTGGAGAAGCTCATTATGACGGTAAGACAGCCAGGAGCAGGACCCTGCAGCTCTCCTTTTCCCAGGGGTCAAAGGTGATGATGCATGGACAAGACACTGTGGTGTTGGATGAAAAAGTCAGTGTAGAGTTGGAGATATCAAAGATGATCCTAGCCCTGACCGGTTTGCTAAGTGGTTAAAGCATCAGCCAGCGGACCGAAGTGTTACAGGTTCAATTCCTGGTCAAGGGCCTGGACCTCAGTTGCAGGTTCCCTAGCCCTGGTAGGGGCGGGTTCGAGAGGCAACAAATTGATATGTGTCTCTCTCATGCCGATGTTTCTCTTTCTATTTCTCGCCCTACCTTTCTGTCCCCCTCCACTCTCTCTAGAAACCAATGGGAAAAATAACCTCAGTGAGGGGAAAAAATTTTTTTAATGGTCTAGTTCTGTGATTTTGTACTATACTGTCTGCCTTAGATTTGGCATGACCCTGGCCCAAAGAGCTGAATACATATGTGTTTCTCAGCCTTCCTTTTTCATCATCCTCTCCCTGAGGAATGCAGGGGCCTAGAGCAGTTAATCATTTTTGTGAAGAAATTGTTATTCAGATTCTCCAAACCTTTATTGAGCAGGTCATGGTCTATGTTGCTCTTATATCCATTACTAGAGGCCCGGTACATGGATCCCTGGGCCTGCGGGCATTGGGCCGAAACCAGCTCTCTGACATCCCCTGAGGGGTCTTGGATTGCGAGAGGGTGGTTCATGGGTGACACACCTCGGAATCGGGCTCCCTCCTCTCTGGTTCTGGGTTTGTCACCTGAGAATGGCAGCTGCCAAGTCACTACAGCTCCACAGCTCCTGCATTGAGCATCTGCCCTTTGGTAGTCATTGTGCATCATAGCTACCAGTAGGAGCATTTGCCCCCTGGTAGTCATTGTGCGTCACATCGAACAGTCATTTAGGCTTTTATATGGATATATAGAGACTGTGGCCCCGTGCACAAAATTCTTACATGGGGTGGAGGGATGTGTGTGTTCCTCAGCTCAGCCTGCACACTCTCTAATCTGGGACCCCTCAAAGGATTGGTTATGCAAGATTAATGAATGATGATGAAAGTGATGTAACATATCATTGGTGATGCATCAGAGGACGTTAGCAGCCAATGGGAAACTCAAAGATGACCTAGCATGTATTTCATTTCAGAGTTCTATCAAGTAGAATGGTGAATGTTGTTGAAAGTTTCTCTGTAAGCAAGTTTCTCTGTGTGGATGGTGGAATTCTGTAGATGTAACAGGTTTCCTTGGCATTCTTACCAGCCTTGCAAATTCCCACAAGGGGAATTTCTCAGGCCTCATTGCATTTGCCATTGTTGTCCTGGAACCATGAGAGCCCAAAGATTGGAGAGACATTTAGGGAGAAAGCATTTTTAAAAAAAATAATTTTTATTGAGTTCAAGGAGGAAGGGAGAGGAAGAAAAGGATAGAAACATCAATGAGAATCACTGATCGGCTGCCTTCTCCACGCCCCACACTGGGACCAAGCCCACAATCTGGGTTATGTGTCCTGACTGGGAATCAAACCATGACCTCCTGGTTCATATGTTGACACTTAACCACTGAGCCATGCTGGGCAGGTGAGAGGGAAGCATTTTCAATACTTAATTAAATTTTCCTTTTGCTCAGGTGGTTATTTTTTCTGTTTAATATAAATCTAGTCTAGGGTTTGTGGGTCTATAGTAATATGTATGGCAGTAAGTTTCTTTTATATGTTGCTAAGGAATAGAATGTAAATTATTTTCAAACATCCATTTTTGTCATATTTTTATAATAGCAATAGTAAGGTACATTTCAGGTAGCAAGTCTGGTGGTCATGATGAATCTTGTTAGTTTACCAATAGTCTTCAAGGGCAGGATGTTGGTGTTGTTTGTTTGGGTACCAATCCCTAAGATATTTCTGGGTGTTACCCACAAACTAGGTATTTTTGGGTATTACCCACTAGCTGGCACCTTCTCAAGCAGTGATTCTCAACCTTTCCGGAGACTGGTGAAAACAATTCAGTAGCCTTTCTGACAACCACTATTAAAACCTCATCAAGTATTATGCTTATACACAATTGTCTGTACAATGTCAGGGAGCTTAGGGATGCCCTAAAACTCATCCAGGGAACCAAGTTAATAAACACTGTTCTGGAAGAATCTCTGACAACATAATTATGTAGGAGAAACATGGTCCCTAAATGGGCTGAACTTGGCACCTTGCACAGAAATCTCTGTGCACCTCATCTTCCTACGGCAGATGATGGAAATGTTTTTTAGACATTTCTGAAAAGTGTGCAAGTTGTGGGAAATGTGTTGATTATAGGATGTTGATTTGCTGGGAACAAGAAAAAGTGAATGGATTCAGAAGTAAAGTTGAAAGTTGTGGGAAAGGTAATCATACAAGGGTTTTCCTCTGTTGGATATAAGGATGGCTTAAAGGTACTCTCTCTTTGCATGAGAAGATGGGGTCATTGCATGGCTGTCAGTACTGAATTGGTTTTTCAAGTTATGAGGCTGGTTTTATCTGGAGCTTTCCATCGTGATCCTTTAACTCAGTAGGAAAAGATGAGCAGCCAGGGCTGGAGGGAATTTGTGGCCGGACCTCATTGGGAACTCAGATTCTTGCTTGAGGACTGGATCTTGGGCTCTGCCCTGATGAATCAAAGCAGATAATCTCCTTCCTCTGGAAAGTTTGTTGTTAAAACGGAATTTGCATTTGTTACAACTAAATGATTATAATGAATCTGTGGTTAAAATCCTGCCCCTGGAGGGTATTTTACTGTAATTTTATGAGAAAACTGGCCATGGGGAAGTATTGGTGAGGCTTTCTGACTGTATATCTCTATGTTCTTGGCCAAGTGGAGGAGGGAGCTCTGAAAACAGCATGATGAGAAATGCCCCTCAAATCAGAGCTCCACTTTTTAAAACCGCATTATCAAGGAATGGCCAATGCATGGCCATTCATCCTCTAAGAGGAGAAAGTCGTGTCTGCTTTGTCCTTGAATGGCTGCGATGAATGACAGGAAGAGGAGTGAATCTTCCTCCTTGCCAAGTGGCTTGACTAAGTTAGCCGCTTTTGGCTACTGAATAGGAAAAGCTGGCAAAACTCACTAAATAGACAGTTCCTGGCAGACATGGGGTGTGTCCAGGATATCGAAAGCTATAAATTCTGGTAAATATTTTTTGCTGTCTGGGTCCAAGGTCTCAGGATAAGGTTTGAAACGGGGTTCGATCCCTCTAAAAGTCAAGTCTACCCTGATAAGTGGAAATAGATTACTTTCTACACAATGTCTTTCCGTTCAGTTGTAAATGGTGAGTGTTTTTAGGAGGCTTCATTTAATAATACCTTATCAGACAGCTTTCAGAAACCTGCAGTGTCTAATATGTCTGTTGCTATGGTAACAGCTGCTTGCTTATGCTCTGCATCTCATATCTGTGTCTTCCATGGGTCCCCTTCTCTTTACTGATGAAGGGGCTTGAAAAATATTCTCCATTGGGAACTGCAGCTCTGGCCCTGCGCTATGGAAACTGCACTCATGGCATTCCATTCTGCTCGGCCCATTGGAAACCGAGCTCCAAAGGGTGTCATTAGGCATGTCACATGAAAGAAAAATCTATAAAGCTTAAAAGGCAATGAGTGAGACAAGTGCCCCTCCAGAACCGACTGAGCAGCCCACCCCCAAACTCCGTTCCACAGACCTGGCACCCACTTACAGAGCACTCAGATTTCAAACCCAACTCGTGTGGGGACTTGGAGCTACTGGATTGTGTCCTCCCTTCCCCACTGACTTGGGAAAGGGGTCCTGAGAATGTAGAGGGCATGGTTTGGGCCCAAAAAGAGAATGGGAAAGACCACCTACCATGCATTTCAATGCTCTTAAATTATTCTAGTAATTGATCACTATGGCTCTAAGTGACAGGCCACACCACTGGGATCCTGGAACACGAATGTCAGGAAATTGTCTTTGTTCCTTGATCACTTAACAAAATACAACCTCACAGTGGAAATGGGGGTTGGCCCCTGAGCATCCCCGTAACACCTTTTTCTGTAGCCCTTTGTTTTCTCTCTTTGCTGTTTTTTTAATTCACTATTTTTTGTACGTACATAGGTTTCCCTTCACTGCCTGCAGCTCTCTCTTTCTCCCTTGTGGGAGCAATGGTTTTACTCCTGTGATCTTTTTTTCCAGTCAGTATCTATTTCTCTGGGCTTGTTGTATGCCTGTGCTTTTGTGAATCTCTGGGAGGCTGGTCTACCCCACCTCCCCCCCACCACCACCACCGGGGCTCCTGGGTGGCCCCTGCCCTGGGGCTGTTGCACCTGCCTGGGTACCAGCTTTCTTACTTTGTCTCCATCTCAGAGGAAAGTAATGAAAATAATCGGGCTTCATTAATTCCAAGCCCTGTGAGATGATAGCCATTTGGAGCCTGTTTGCCAATTAGATGGTCTAAATTAGAAGTGACCTTGGTATACTGCCACTGCTTGCCTCTCTCAGTCTAATGAAGCTCTTCTCTAATTCATTCTCCTTCTCAGCTCTCTTTTCTGTGTCCTCTCTCTTCCATTTTCAGTCTTTGTCGTTCTTAGTTTTTTTTGTGTGTTTTTTTAAGATCTGGATCGTGGCCATGTTTGAGTCTGTCCCACATGAAAGCTAATGTGGTCCTGCAGTTTTTCCTCACGGGTTTTATGTTTTTTAAGAAGGGAGAGAGAACCACATACAAGACATGTTAGAAAGGAAACAAGTCAGAGAGAGAGACCCCTGTAGACTCCGTGGTCACTGCCCAGCCTGACACTTTGGGAAGGTGGTGAGGGAAGGAAAAAAAATCTCTGAAGTTGTGCTGCCAAGAAGTGCCCTGGTTTGCTGGCTGCATTAGTGCAGAAACCAGCTGGCAGGTCCCAGATGCCCTTGAGGTGCAGGAGAGGAGTGAGCAGCCGGCTCTCCCTGGAGCAGTCAGCCAGCTTTAGCTGCACCAATAACTGGAATGTTTAGCTCTGGAAGCAGGTGCATCTTAACTTCATGCTTGAATGTTTCTCATAGAACCAGTACCTCATTCACAGAGACTGGCCAGGTCTGTGCTAGGAAGGCCTGGTCCAAGGCTTTCCCTGACACCCCCCCACCCGCACCTGCCATCTGAGGTACTTCATTCTATTGATTTTCATTGACAAGTGAAGGATCTGAGGCTTCTCCGGGAGTCTAGGCTTTGGCAAGTCTATACTTTCACTTGGAAAAGTGAGCCTTTCAGAAAGAAGCACCACTTAGGTGGGCGGTGCTAAGGTAGTAGGGATGAGTGTCTCAGAGAAACCAGGTTCAACACTTACTCTAAGAAAATATATTAACCATTCTGCATTGTGAGCTACTTGGGCACAGGGACCCTGAGCAGTGTTTAGTGAATGATGGTCAGGTGAATGGATGAGCAGAATCACATGAGGCCCTTCATTTTCCACAACTAAGCTCTTTTGGCATTGCTTAAACTTGGAGGCTCTCAGTGTGGAACTCTTCTGTTGCTATTGTTAGATATGAGAATTGCTTAAATTTGAAGAATTTCAGTCAGAGCAAAACTCCACATTTCTGGTTATACGTGAAACCTGTTTACTTGTCAGGAAGATGAGAGCCGCTGTTGGTTTTCAAACTTTCAGCACCCGAGCTCAGCTTTTATACTACATTCCCATCAACTTTACATACTCTGGAAGAAATGTAGTTAGTGGGCTTGGCTCAAAAGCATGGGGGGAACACATGTAGTATCTGGGCCTTCAGACCTTGAAAACTTGCCCCATGTGTTTAGGTAACTACTTTTATCTACCTGCATCTATGGGTTATTAGAGTAATTTCAGATCACCTCTCCTAATAGGTTAATAAGATCACCATAGAACTGTCTGTGAATGGCCAAGGCCAATCTTGAGTGACCCAAATTCTGAGAAAATAATGGGTCCAATCAATTGAATTTTCTTACCAGAGAAATTTTGTTTTACTTTTGGTTAAAAGTCTGTTTTAATAGTCTCAGGTCCCCTCTATACATTAATGGGTAGACTACAGGGACATAAATTGAACATGTTTATCAGTATACAGATTATTAGAAAAATCAATCTATGTGGATGGCAGTGTCAGTGTAAAAAGTGGAGGTGTTTGGACTGTTATCTGGCCAAATCTAAAATGTTTTGTTTGGCTTTGAGTCTGGAGTAGGAGAGGAGACAGAAGGAGATGGGGAAGAGGAAGAGAGTGTTAGTGCACACATGTGCAGGGGAGCCGGTGGTGGATTCACTTAGTGGAGGGCGAGATTTGGGCGCCTTTGGTATGGCTTATATTGTAGCCAGGTTTTGTTGTCTCAGAAACCTACACTCCACAAAGCTCCTCGAAAGGGAAGGTCTTGACAGAACCTTAACCTCAGCAGTTAAATGATTGCCTTTCTGACTGACTTTCAGCTCTCCATTGGATACTATGGCTAGGATAATCTGAACCTTGCACACAGTTTAAAAAATAGGGGGTGGGTTTTGCCGAGGCAAGTTTGGAAGGAACTGTGCCTTTGGCCAACTCTCCTTTCCTTAGAACTCAGTAAGCTGTTGGCGGGACTAGATTTATGGCTTCACTCAAAAGCATGCACTTTGAGTGGAAAGCTCTGGGAGCTGGCAGGAGAGAGAGGGAGGAATGGACACAGGCATGGGAGGGGGCATGTATCTGAGAGCTCACATGGGTCCCTCCATCACCTGTGCAACAAGGCTTGGCTTCTCAACCTCTCTGTTCAGACACAGGCTGAGAGACCTTCCCAGAACCTCTTGATCCTTCGGATTCCCTTTAGGGCTACTCCTTTTTGCCTCCTGAGAATTTCTTGCTCGTTAAAATTTTATATACCCAGGTTTTTTTTCTTCTGAGGGAGATGCTATAGATGAGAAGATGCAGGTAGATAAAAGTAATTACTTAAACACATATGGGGCAAGACTTACAGGTTTGGAGGCCCAGATTAAGATGCAGAGGAGCATGTGAGGTTGATGATTATATTTCGGGGAGAGTTAATTGATGGAAGGTGAAGGCAGACAAAGAACCGCTGCTTACTGCCTTCTTGAATCCCAATCAGGAATTATGATTAAAGTCGCAGCGAGACAACAGAGGGCTGATGAATTGGTGTCTTTTTTTTTTCTTTTTTGCCATCATTCACACTTGATTGACTTCAACCTTTCAAGTGCAAAAGTCTCTCTTTTCCATTATTATTCATAGCCATCTGAGTTTTTCTAATTAAAGTGTATGAAAACAATTACTGATCCGTCGTACTGAGTCTGTTAGAGAGGATGTCTGCCTTACTGTAATGCGTATAAAAAGCCCCCAGTTTTCTATAATGATGTGCAGCTGAGGTATTAGATAATTTTATTCTTTTTTACTCTGTAGGGCTTTTTTATTTCTCATGATTCATTTTTCATAATTCCAAAAGATCCCAGGAAAGGACTGATCCTGCCGCTACAACTGAGAAAGGAGGTGGGGGGCATCTTTTTTCATTTCCCTTTCTCCGCCCTCTAGCCCCCAACCTTGTGCTCCCCCTCAGCTGAGGACTATAAATTAATCGGTGACCTTTCACTTCTTGGTCTCCTGCTGGACTCCCTAACCACACTGGTCAGAAATGCTTTCTATTAAAAAGAAAATAGATGGAATGAGTTTGGCAATCTCTGCTCCATTCCTAACAATTCATCAGCTGCTAGCCTTAGCCAGCTGCCATGAGTTTTTGTGTGGAGGTGGAGGTGCAGGTGTCTGTGAGAGCAGGGATTTTGTCACATGTACACCTGCTATGCACCTGCTCTTGTAAACACGGGTTACTCAGAACCCCTCTTCAGTGCCTGTTGCTTAATTTTGCACCTATTAGCATCTGGGATTGCCAAAATTATTCTAACACTCATAAATGTGTTGGGGCATTACCTTTCTGGTGTGTCAATGTGAACAGTTGTCTGGGTTTCCTCTGACAGTTGAGCCCATCACTGATGAGTCTAGTAACCTGTCAGTAGCTGTTTTGAGCAAGGCCAAGAACTTCGAATGATTAGAAATAGGAATTTACTTAAATTTATTTCATTTTGAACAGTAATCTAATGGTTCCAATCACTGCAACAGCAAGTGAAGATATTGTCATGGTATTTGTATTGTTGATGGGAAAGTAATGCCTCCAAATGGGCTAGGTGCCATGTTGAAAGGTTAGTGGTGACTGTAGTTTCTGTAATCTTGAAGTCAGATCATTTCTCTGGCTGTCATCAAACAGGAAACAATTTCTGATTCATTTGGGAATATCATCACCTTCCCACCCTATAGCAGGCAAAGGGACATTGTTTCTTTTTAAACAATGAACCTTTTATCCTTACATTGGATATTGAGGGCTGTTTATCACATTAATGTGGGCCAAATGATGTTGTTTGGACAAGCTTCTGGCCAGATGGCAGGGAAGCCTAGAGAAATATCTGAGGATCTGACTTAAAATTGCAGCTCTTTTAATCCAGGCTAATTCTGGAATTGCTCTATTTGGCAACAGTGGCCAAAGGGGGAAGGGGGTGGCATCCTGTTGAAGGATGCTTTGCGAGGTACCCTGTGTAGCTGGGACACTGGCCAAAGGTTCCCCTCTGATGCTGTGTACCTCAAGCAGAAACTCCAGAAGAAATCCTGGCTTAAGTGAGTCATAAGAAATGCTTATTTGCACTTGATCTCAGCTTGTGAAGGGTTACAAAATGTTGTTGTCTGGAAAAAGTGCCAGTGTGTCTGCGTGTCCTTAGCTTTCCTTTGTTCTCTTCTCTTCTTCTTACCCTTTCCTTTGCTCTTATTCCCCTCCTCTTCTTGCCTGAATACATTTTGAAAACAGTACTACAATGCTCCCTGCTTCAAGATTACAGTGTACTTTACTAGGTATGATTTAATTAGGGCCCTTATTATGTTTTCAGCAGCTTAAGGTGGGCCTTTCAACTTATCTACCTAATTGGTTGCACAAGAAGTTTCACAGCCCATGACAAAACATTGTCAGTGATCAAAGTCAAAATTCTGCATAAAGGAAAAATATTAATAATAAGATTATTCTTCAAGTGTGCACTGCTAATTATGTCCAGAATGTAACCGTAGAAACACTTTTGACTGATGTGAGCTTTGTCTAATAAACATGAATCTTCAGTGAGCTATGAAAAGTGACACCTCCAGCTTTACACTGGTGAAGGCTAATTTTGCTTATTAAATAATTTTTACACATTTCCCCGTTTTGTGTCTCTTCCCTCTCCATTTGACTCTCCGCGTTTCTCTGCCTCTTGTTCCTAGGTGACCACCCCTGAGATGGTGATGCCCAGCAGCATGTTTCTCCCAGCGGCTGTTCCAGATCGAGACGGGAACCCCAATGTTGAGGAGGCAGGCAAGCAGCCTGGTTAGTGTCATTATCCTTGACCCCTGTCAATGGAAACAGAATGAAATGTCGGGCCGGGGCTTTCACAGGGTGGGGTGCCCACTCCTTTACAGTTCTCCTAAGCTGACGGCAACTGATCAAAGGATGAGGGTCACTGTCGGCAGCCACTTTGTACTCTGGCTCTTGGCAGATTTTTGTGTACTAATATGGTTTAAAGTGATAAAATCGGGTGAGAACAAGTAGGATTTTGGTGGGCACGTCCCCTTTGGGAGTGAATAACCTGAGACTCAATGAACAGACCCATAACTCACCATCCTAACCTGTTAAACACTCCCTCTGAGGACTTAATTATTAGGAACTTATAGAGCACATAGGGGATTTCAGGACTCTGGGTTAGTTATCTTTCTGGGAGCTGCCTCCACCCCAAGTTCTCTGAGTGTTATAGGATTGCCTCAGGATATAGTATAGGGATATCTTGTCATATACAGGGATGGTAGTGGTGCCCCACGATGGTGCGTACCTCGATAGATCATTAGACCTCCATTTATGAGGCTCCTCTACATCGTTCACCTCCTGTCAGCATATTAGGCAGTGAACAGCTGATATGGGTCAGAATATTTATGGGTATGCTCATTATAGGAAAAAATGTACTGTATTTTACTAATTGGCCACTTGAATGTTTATTGCTTATTGAATAGAGATGACAGTCAAAATGCCTAAAATTACATTCCAAATTTCTTAAATTACAAAGGACCACAGTTATCAAATGTGCCGCATAACTCAGGATAGCATTAATTCACATCCTATATAATAAAGAGGTAATATGCAAATTAACCTTCATGCCCTCATAAAATGGCTGCCTACGACCAAGCCAGCAGGGCTGTTAGTGACGACCAAACAACTGAACAGCAGGCTGCGTGGGGCGACCAAGCCGGGTGGGGGAGGGGGAGGAGAGGAGGGGGCAGTTAGGGGCAACTAGGCAGGCAGGCAGGTGAGCAATCAGGAGCCAGTAGTCCAGGATTGCGAGAGGGATGTCCCAGATTGGAGAGGGTCCAGGCTGGGCTGAAGGGACCCCTATCCTGTGCACAAATTTTGTGCACCGGGCCTCCAGTATTCTATGATACTGGTAAAAGATGAACCCACTTAAAATCAGTAACCTTCAAACCAGTTCTGGAGAAATTGAGAACTCTGAGCCAAGCAATTTTAAATATTGTTTAAAAGACAGATAGATATGTGATAGGATACAGGCTTACTAGGAGGCAACACTTTTTGTATTTCCTTTCAGTTCTCTCCGTTCTTATGGACCTGCTCCTAATATGTTTGCTCTATTAGAGGGGAAGAAAGCAGGAGGCTGTGTGTTCAGGTTAGGTGTTTCCTTCGTCAGAATCTGTGTTCCTGAGGCCTTGCTAGGTAGACAGCTCTCGGTGCCATCCTTGAAACAAAGCCCTCTTTATCATTGTGCTTGATGTTTTTTTTTTTCTTACAGAAACCTCAGAGGATCCTGGAAAGAACATCTTGCCCTCCGTGAGCACAGAGCACGGTGGGGATCTGAAACCCTCTTCTGCTGACCCAGGCTCTATGAGAGAAGACTCGGGTTTCCTGTGCTGGAAGAAGGGGTGCAACCAGGTTTTCAAAACTTCTGCGGCTCTTCAGACTCACTTCAATGAGGTTCACACCAAGAGGCCTCAGCTGCCCGTGTCAGACCGCCACGTGTACAAGTACCGCTGTAATCAGTGCAGCCTGGCTTTCAAGACCATTGAAAAGCTGCAGCTGCATTCTCAGTACCACGTGATCAGAGCCGCCACCATGTGCTGTCTTTGTCAGCGCAGTTTCCGAACTTTCCAGGCTCTGAAAAAACACCTTGAGACGAGCCACCTGGAGTTGAGTGAGGCCGACATCCAGCAGCTTTATGGCGGCCTTCTGGCTAATGGGGACCTCCTGGCAATGGGAGACCCCACCCTGGCCGAGGACCACACCATAATTGTTGAGGAAGATAAGGAGGAAGAGAGTGACTTGGAAGAGAAGCAGAGCCCCACAGGCAGTGACTCTGGGTCAGTACAAGAAGACTCAGGCTCAGAACCGAAGAGAGCTCTGCCTTTCAGAAAAGGCCCCAACTTCACCATGGAGAAATTTCTAGACCCTTCTCGCCCTTACAAGTGTACTGTCTGCAAGGAATCCTTCACGCAAAAGAATATCCTGCTGGTGCACTATAATTCTGTCTCCCACCTGCATAAATTAAAGAGAGCCCTTCAAGAATCGGCAACTGGTCAACCAGAACCCACCAGCAGCCCAGACAACAAGCCTTTTAAGTGTAACACTTGTAACGTGGCCTACAGCCAGAGTTCCACATTGGAGATCCACATGAGGTCTGTGTTACATCAAACCAAGGCCCGGGCAGCCAAGCTGGAGGCCGCAGGTGGCAGCAGCAATGGGAACAGCAGCAGTGTCTCCCTGAGCTCCTCTACCCCAAGTCCTGTGAGCACCGCTGGCAGTAACACCTTTACCACCACCAACCCAAGCAGTGCTGGCATTGCTCCAAGCTCCAGCTTACTGAGCCAAGTGCCCACGGAAAGTGTAGGAATGCCGCCCCTGGGGAATCCCATCAGTGCCAACATCACTTCCCCTTCAGAGCCCAAGGAGGCCAATCGGAAGAAACTGGCAGATATGATTGCTTCGAGGCAGCAGCAACAGCAGCAGCAGCAAGCACAGACACTGGCCCAGGCCCAAGCTCAAGTTCAAGCTCACTTGCAACAGGAGCTGCAGCAGCAAGCTGCCCTGATCCAGTCTCAGCTGTTTAACCCCACCCTCCTTCCTCACTTTCCCATGACCACTGAGACCCTGCTCCAGCTGCAGCAACAGCAGCATCTCCTCTTCCCCTTCTACATCCCCAGCGCGGAGTTCCAGCTCAACCCTGAGGTGAGCTTGCCGGTGACCAGTGGGGCGCTGACGCTGACTGGGACGGGCCCAGGGCTGCTGGAAGACCTGAAGGCTCAGGTTCAGATCCCACAGCAGAGCCATCAGCAGATCCTGCAGCAAAGCCAGCTTTCTCTATCCCAGAGTCATTCTACCCTCCTTCAGCCAAGCCAGCACCCTGAAAAGAAAAATAAATCGGTCATCAAAGAAAAGGAAAAAGAAAACCAGAGAGAGAGGGATGGTGCTGAAGGGGGAGAAGGCAACACAGGACCAAAGGAGTCTCTGCCAGATGCCTTGAAGGCCAAAGAGAAGAAAGAGCTGGCACCAGGGGGTAGTTCTGAGCCTTCCATGCTTCCTCCACGCATCGCCTCGGATGCCAGAGGGAACGCTACCAAGGCCTTGCTGGAGAACTTTGGCTTTGAGTTGGTCATTCAGTACAACGAGAATAAGCAGAAGGTGCAGAGAAAGAATGGGAAGACGGAGCAGGGAGAGAATCTGGAAAAGCTCGAGTGTGACTCCTGTGGCAAGTTATTTTCCAACATCCTGATTTTAAAGAGTCATCAAGAGCATGTTCATCAAAATTACTTTCCCTTTAAACAGCTGGAGAGGTTTGCCAAACAGTACAGAGAACACTACGATAAACTGTACCCCCTGAGGCCTCAAACCCCAGAGCCGCCGCCACCTCCTCCTCCGCCTCCTCCACCTCCACTTCCCACAGCACCACCTCAGCCTGTTTCCACGCCAGCCATCCCTGTGTCCGCACCACCCATCACTTCGCCTACAATTGCACCAGCCCAGCCGTCTGTTCCGCTCACCCAGCTCTCCATGCCCATGGAGCTGCCCATCTTCTCGCCACTGATGATGCAGACGATGCCACTTCAGACATTGCCAGCCCAGCTGCCCCCTCAGCTTGGACCCGTGGAGCCTCTGCCTGCTGACCTGGCCCAGCTGTACCAGCATCAGCTTAATCCAAGTCTGCTCCAGCAGCAGAACAAGAGGCCTCGCACCAGGATCACGGATGACCAGCTCCGAGTTCTGCGGCAATATTTTGACATTAACAACTCCCCCAGTGAAGAGCAGATCAAAGAGATGGCCGACAAGTCTGGGTTGCCCCAGAAAGTGATCAAGCACTGGTTCAGAAACACGCTCTTTAAAGAGAGGCAGCGTAACAAGGACTCCCCTTACAACTTCAGCAACCCTCCTATCACCAGCCTGGAGGAGCTGAAGATTGACTCCCGGCCCCCTTCGCCGGAACCTCAGAAGCAGGAGTACTGGGGAAGCAAGAGGTCCTCAAGAACACGGTTTACTGACTACCAGCTGAGGGTCCTACAGGACTTCTTCGATGCCAATGCTTACCCAAAGGACGATGAATTTGAGCAACTCTCTAATTTACTGAACCTTCCAACCCGAGTCATAGTGGTGTGGTTTCAAAATGCCCGACAGAAGGCCAGGAAAAATTATGAGAATCAGGGAGAAGGCAAAGATGGAGAGCGGCGTGAGCTTACGAATGATAGGTATATTCGTACGAGCAACCTAAACTACCAGTGCAAAAAGTGTAGCCTGGTGTTTCAGCGCATCTTTGATCTCATCAAGCACCAGAAGAAGCTGTGTTACAAAGATGAGGATGAGGAGGGGCAGGATGACAGCCAAAACGAGGATTCCATGGATGCCATGGAAATCCTGACACCCACCAGCTCCTCCTGCAGTACCCCGATGCCCTCACAGGCCTACAGCACCCCAGCGCCATCAGCCAATACAGCTTCCTCCGCTTTCTTGCAGCTTACAGCAGAAGCTGATGAACTGGCCACCTTCAGTTCAAAAACAGAGGTGACTGATGAGAAACCAAAGCAGGCTGAACCTCCCAGTACACAGCCAAACCAAACCCAAGAAAAGCAAATACAACCAAAGGCAGAGCTGCAGCAGCAAGACCAGCCTGAGCAGAAGACAAACGCAGCCCAGCAAAAGCTTCCACAGCTGACTTCCCCCACTTCATTACCACAGCCTCCTCCACAAGCACCGCCTCCGCAGTGCCCCTTACCCCAGTCCAGCCCCAGTCCTTCTCAGCTGTCCCACCTGCCCCTCAAGCCTCTCCACACGTCAACTCCTCAACAGTTGGCAAACCTACCTCCTCAGCTAATTCCCTACCAGTGTGACCAGTGTAAGTTGGCGTTTCCATCGTTTGAACATTGGCAGGAGCATCAGCAGCTTCACTTCCTGAGTGCGCAGAATCAGTTCATCCACCCTCAGTTTTTAGACAGGTCACTGGATATGCCTTTCATGCTGTTTGATCCTAGTAACCCTCTCCTGGCCAGCCAGCTGCTCTCTGGGGCCATACCTCAGATGCCAGCAAGCTCGGCCACTTCTCCTTCAACTCCAACCTCCACTATGAACACTCTGAAGAGGAAGCTGGAGGAAAAGGCCAGCGCAAGCCCTGGCGAAAATGACAGCGGGACAGGAGAAGAACCTCAGAGAGACAAACGCTTGAGGACAACTATTACACCAGAACAGCTAGAAATTCTCTACCAAAAGTACCTATTGGACTCCAATCCAACTAGAAAGATGTTGGATCACATTGCGCATGAGGTAGGCTTGAAGAAACGTGTGGTACAAGTCTGGTTTCAGAACACACGTGCTCGGGAAAGGAAAGGACAGTTCCGGGCTGTGGGCCCAGCTCAGGCCCACAGGAGATGCCCTTTTTGCAGAGCCCTCTTCAAAGCCAAGACTGCTCTCGAGGCTCATATCCGGTCCCGTCATTGGCATGAAGCCAAGAGAGCTGGCTACAACCTAACTCTGTCTGCAATGCTCTTAGACTGCGATGGGGGACTCCAGATGAAAGGAGATATTTTTGATGGAACTAGCTTTTCCCACCTACCCCCAAGCAGTAGTGACGGCCAAGGTGTTCCCCTCTCGCCTGTGAGTAAAAGCATGGAGTTATCTCCCAGAACTCTTCTTAGCCCTTCTTCCATCAAGGTGGAAGGAATTGAAGACTTTGAAAGCCCTTCCATGTCTGCAGTTAATCTAAACTTTGACCAGACTAAACTAGACAATGATGACTGTTCCTCTGTCAACACAGCAATCACAGATACCACTACTGGAGATGAGGGCAATGCAGATAATGACAGTGCGACGGGAATAGCAACTGAAACCAAATCCTCATCTGCGGCCAATGACGGGTTGACCAAAGCGGCCATGATGGCAATGTCTGAGTATGAAGACCGGTTGTCGTCAGGTCTGGTCAGCCCAGCCCCGAGCTTTTACAGCAAAGAATATGACAATGAAGGTACAGTGGACTATAGCGAAACCTCAAGCCTTGCAGACCCCTGCTCTCCAAGTCCTGGTGCAAGTGGGTCAGCAGGCAAATCTGGAGACAATGGGGATCGGCCTGGGCAGAAACGTTTTCGCACTCAAATGACTAATCTGCAGCTGAAGGTCCTCAAGTCATGCTTTAATGACTACAGGACACCCACCATGCTAGAGTGTGAGGTCCTAGGCAATGACATTGGACTGCCAAAGAGAGTTGTTCAGGTCTGGTTCCAGAATGCCCGGGCAAAAGAAAAGAAGTCTAAGCTAAGCATGGCCAAGCATTTTGGTATAAACCAAACAAGTTACGAGGGACCCAAAACAGAGTGCACTTTGTGTGGCATCAAGTACAGCGCTCGGCTGTCTGTACGTGACCATATCTTTTCCCAACAGCATATCTCCAAAGTTAAAGACACCATTGGAAGCCAGTTGGACAAGGAGAAAGAATACTTTGACCCAGCCACTGTACGTCAGTTGATGGCTCAACAAGAGTTGGACCGGATCAAAAAAGCCAATGAGGTCCTTGGACTGGCAGCTCAGCAGCAGGGGATGTTTGATAACGCCCCTCTTCAGGCTCTTAACCTTCCTACAGCATATCCGGCACTCCAGGGCATTCCTCCTGTGTTGCTCCCTGGCCTCAACAGCCCCTCCTTGCCGGGCTTTACTCCATCTAACACAGGTGGGTTCTGCTCTAGGTTATTCCATAACTATTCAATAGCTGTCCATTTAGCCCTTTGTTCTGTTCTACATCCACACCCTCTGAGGAGTGGGCAGATAGGAAGCTTCAACAAAACTTTAGGTGCCTTCCATTGAGTCTCCCTGGAGCTGTGCTCATGTTGTACATCTTCCTTTGACTTACCAGTTCAGGGATCGCACCTCCTGGTTGGACTGGTCTCCTCTGAAACCACTCTTGTGCCTTGTGTTTCACAGCACAACCAGGGAGAGTTGGGGAAGTGTTATTTTCAAGAAAGAAGCTTCTATTGTAGACTTTTTGGTGCTTCTGGAAAGCCTGATCCCTTCTAGATATTTGTTGAAAATATAAGACACTAAATTCAAGAGAATTTAAACCAATCTTTGCCCTTACCTGTGGTGCCTGCCCCCTTTTTTAGAGAGCTACTCTGGCATAATTGCTATCAGGTGTCCTCTTACTCCTGAGATTCTCTTCTAGCCAGAACAACAGTGGCTATGTCAGTTTGTGCTTGGATGTACTGATTAGGAATCTTGTATTGGGCAACGTGGTTTTGAATTTTGACATATTTGTGTTAGTACTCCAGACAGACAAAAAATGTTAATGGTAATTTTTCAGGGGTATTCAGTCTGCATTGTTTCCTTTTGCCCATCTCCCTTTTTTGCTTCTCTCCCCTATTCAGAATCATATACTTGGTACTCTTATTTTTCCATTTAATGGAGAGTCTCACAGTTCTTCCTGTGTACCTCTTGTTTGTCCTTACCCATCTTCTCTGGATCCACCTGTCTTTCCTAAATTAGACCTTCACCTTTATAATCCTCTAAGACTTAGGCACAAATCATCAAGTTGCCTTCATGGCCTGCATTGACCAGTACACATTCACCAAAGGAGAGCCCCTCAAAGGGCTCCCTTGCCTTCAAAAGTGGCTCTTCTACTTCACAGAGAAGTCCTGGTTGAAGGAAATCCAAGTTTTACAATTTTGGCAGTGATTTACAGAACATGAGGCTACCTCATTCCTGGTCCCAGTTTCTTAGCCAAAGAGAGGAACAAGAAAAGGAAGCATTAAGATATAAAAGTCGTTGCTTATATGTGTTGGCAAGTTAGTGTCACAGAATGATGCTCAAGCCAGCTAGACATAAGCCAAGAAACAAGCTATGGAAAGTGGCCAGACACTGAATTATCCTTGCAGCCTAGGACCTTGGCAGAGGGGCTTGGGAAGGCCCAACATTTCATAATAATGTGAAAAAAATTAGAATCAGAATGTCTGATCTATTCCCCTTGTTTTACAGATGAGAAAACTGAGGCCCAGAGAGGTCGAGACCCTTCAGCAAGCTAGGGTAGGAGCCAGAGCTCCCACCCAGGCCTCCGGGCTCCCAGTGCTATGTGCTCCTTCCACAACACCCAATATGAGCCAGTCAGTCAACAGGTATATGTTTAGTGCTACTCAGGTTCTGACCACTTAAAGTGGACTTAAGATAGAAAGATATGCTCTTAATTATTCAAGGCAGCCAGCCAGATGTGCCCCCTGTAACCACCTCCTGACTGTACCAACGCTCACAGGAGCACTGGATCTGGAATGGGAGGGAAGAAACCTATGTTTAATATGTCAGGCTCAAGGGTGACTTTTACCATGTAAATCCCCACAACAATTTACTGTGGAAAACTGAGGTTCCAAGCAGTCAGCGAACGGGTCCAAGATCACACATGGCAAATGTATGTCAATCATAATCCATCTCCTATCAGTCTGACTCCAGAGGTGCATGCCTAGGTCTCGGGGATGAAGTGCCTTGCTTAGTTCTGATCTTACAGATGAGAAAACCGAGGGCACAGAATTATTCTGAGAATATATTGAGCTCTGGTATCGCTACTGTGTTGAATGTGGCTAGTGCAGAGCTTGTAAAAAGCACAGATTCAGTAACCATTTCTTAAAATTTTGAATCTTTTATGTAGATTGTCAGTTCAAGATATAGAAAGTCAGTCTAAAGCCTTCTGTCCTGGATCTTTCTCCTGAAAATCTGATGTCATAGAGATGGGGAAATACCTAGACTTTCCTTCCTTACCCTCCCGTTTGGCTCTGGTTATCGATATAACCTAAAACTTGGAGTAGGCCTGTTGTCCAGAGGGAGATGGAAAGAGCCATGTGGCACATTTAGAATCCATAATTCATTCTGTTTCAGCCTCCTTTGTGCCAACTTAACCAATGAGACTTTACTGAGATTTCCTGAGTCGGATGTATCTTCTCCTCTGGTTTCAGCCCCTTATGTGTGTTTAGGAAAATTGGATGTCTTAATCTCAGAAGAGTACATAAATGATGCTATGTCGTGCTGAGGGAAGCATCCTCCTTGTCCATCCAAACATTAACGGATGTTTTTCTGGGATCAACAACTTTGTTTTTTTATCTGAAATATGAGTGTCTTCAAATGCAGTTTGATAGCCCAGTAAACACTGAAGTCAACACAGTCTTCACCCAGGTCTGGGCTTCAGAGTGTTTTGTTTTTTCCTCATGAGGACAGTGTCACATTATGGAACCCACTACCACAGCTTTCTGGCAGAAGGTGATCCAGATAAGTGGTGAGGGGCCATCGGGTTTGATTTCAAATTCTGGTGCTCACTGTACACTGTCTAGTTTCTTGGGTGTAGCAAATGTAAAGATGATCTGAAGGCTGCTGCCTGTGAACTCTCCTCTGTTCTTGTCTATTCTCAGCATCTCATCACCCATCACATCCTGTCTCCCCACCACCTTGCTAGTCTTTACAAACCTTAGTTTGGAGTACAGGTTTGTCTCACTCTCTGAAAGTAGTTGAGAAACCTTTCCTAAGTCAAAATGGCATGAAGTGAAGAAGCAGCCACCTGAGGACACATCTTGCTAGCAAATGCACACAATAAATTAAGATAAAGCACAGATACTCATAGAAACAGCTCAAAGCTATGATGCTGAGTGTAGTTCCTGGGGAAGGAGCTTGGCAATCCTGCTCACCCTGTTCAGGGTATGCGATGCCTCTACTATAGTTCACTACAAAGCCAACACTGAATGCTATTTTCACTTTTTGTATTTCTTTCAGTTAGTGAGAATAGGTATTAATGTAGGTTTTTCCTAAAAGCAAAGTGGCATGAAGTGAACTTTTGAATAGTGGGGATATCTGTACCAGCAGCATCAATATCATTTCCATGATTCTGGAACAAAAGGCTCAACCCAGAAGTTAGGTCTGGGGGTATGTTAGGCTCTGGGCTGGATGGTAGTAGTAGGTTAGGTCTGAATGTGACTGAGGATGGGGCTGTACCCCATGTGTGTCTAGTGACATGGTCAAAGACCTCTGCCACCCATAAGCAATGGTACCTGATATAGGATGCAATCTTAGGAATTGATGGTGGCAGCACTTTGAGCAGTTCCATTTCTGACATGTTTTTCTCCTCTTCCTATGGCTAGTTTTTCCATCTATAGTCCTAGCCCTACTGTATGTCATTCAAACAGGGGCAAGAATAGAAAGTGTTCATTTCTCTAGAGCAGTGTTTCCCAAAGTGTGGTACGCGTACCCCCAGGAGTACGGGAAGAGTTTGGTGGGGGTACGCGTTGCACTGGAGTTTGGCGGGGATATGCACTGCACCGTGCTTAGCTGTGCCTAATTCTACGTTCTCATGAGTATGAGGGGTACTCAGCGTTACGAAAATTATAGAAGGGGTACACATATGTCAAAAATTTGGGAAACACTGCTCTATAGGACTGCAGATCCTATTCCTAGATGGTTACATTCCTCCCCCCCAACAGATTGTTAAAGCAGATCAGCTGAGCCAAGACACTGGAACAGTTTTCCCTGAATAGACCGTTTTTATTTCTTTGTATTCCTCCTCCTAGCTCTTTCCTCTTAACGGATCCATTTAGGCTATCCACATGCAGAGGTACATGAGGATAGCCTATTTGTTCACATTGTCTTGAGCTTGGCTAGGTTTCCTGCTTTCCTTCCCTCTCTTTTCCTATCACCTGCCTCCTCAGACAACTTCTAGTGAGACCTCTTTTTGTGACGCTTTGATGAAGGCCCTTGATCCCAGCTAGTTTGGGGGCCTCCAGACTAATTGCCTTGGGTAGAATGAATGGCAGCAGGGACCTTGGCAAGAAAATATGAACTAATGGGGTGGGCATGACACACTGGGCAGAAGGTGCTTGGCTGAAAGAGGAAGTATGGGAGCAGAGCTGATCCAGGTCTCATGCTTGATTAGAATACAAGGCTCTCCAACCCTGAGCCTGGCTGACACCTCTGTTGAAACGTTGGTGTAAACCTTCGTATAAAGCTTAAGGCCTCAGACTCTGTGCCAGTGACACAGGTCAAAACATCTTGACCTTCAGCCTCACCACCCAGACTGACATGTGATTTCTCTGTGTCCATTCTTTTCAGCTTTAACGTCTCCAAAACCGAACTTGATGGGTCTGCCCAGCACAACAGTTCCTTCCCCTGGTCTCCCCACATCTGGATTACCAAATAAACCGTCCTCAGCGTCGCTGAGCTCCTCAACCCCAGCACAAGCCACCATGGTGATGGCCCCTCAGCAAAACCCCCAACCCCAGCAGCAGCAGCCACAGGTGCAGCCACCGCCAGCAACCCAGCCTCCACCTGTGCCACAGCTCCCGCCACAACCGCAGCAACAGCAACGCAAGGACAAGGACAGTGAGAAGGTGAAGGAGAAGGAAAAGGCACACAAAGGGAAAGGGGAACCCCTGCCTGTCCCCAAGAAGGAGAAAGGAGAAGCCCCCACGGCAGCTGCAGCCACCATCTCAGCCCCACTGCCCACCATGGAGTATGCGGTGGACCCTGCACAGCTGCAGGCCCTGCAGGCAGCCTTGACTTCAGACCCCACAGCGTTGCTCACGAGCCAGTTCCTTCCTTACTTTGTACCAGGCTTCTCTCCTTATTACGCCCCCCAGATCCCTGGCGCCCTGCAGAGCGGGTACCTGCAGCCAATGTATGGCATGGAAGGCCTGTTCCCCTACAGCCCTGCGCTGTCGCAGGCCCTGATGGGGCTGTCCCCGGGCTCCCTACTGCAGCAGTACCAGCAATACCAGCAGAGTCTGCAGGAGGCGATCCAGCAGCAGCAGCGGCAAATGCAGCAGCAGCAGCAGCAAAAAGTGCAGCAGCAGCCCAAAGCAAGCCAAACCCCAGTCCCCCCTGGGGCTGCTTCCCCAGACAAAGACCCTGCCAAAGAATCCCCCAAACCAGAAGAGCAGAAAAACGCACCCCGTGAGGTGTCCCCCCTCCTGCCGAAACCCCCCGAAGAGCCAGAAGCGGAAAGCAAAAGTGCGGACTCCCTCTATGACCCCTTCATTGTTCCAAAGGTGCAGTACAAGCTGGTCTGCCGCAAGTGCCAGGCGGGCTTCGGTGACGAGGAGGCAGCGAGGAGCCACCTGAAGTCCCTCTGCTTCTTCGGCCAGTCTGTGGTGAACCTGCAAGAGATGGTGCTTCACGTCCCCACGGGCGGCGGTGGCAGCGGCGGTGGCAGCGGCGGTGGCAGCAGTGGCGGCGGCTCGTACCACTGCCTGGCGTGCGAGAGCACGCTCTGTGGGGAGGAAGCTCTGAGTCAACATCTCGAGTCGGCCTTGCACAAACACAGAACAATCACGAGAGCAGCAAGAAACGCCAAAGAGCACCCTAGTTTATTACCTCACTCTGCCTGCTTCCCCGATCCTAGCACCGCATCTACCTCGCAGTCTGCCGCTCACTCAAACGACAGCCCCCCTCCCCAGTCGGCCGCCGCCCCCTCCTCGTCCTCCGCTTCCCCTCACGCCTCCAGGAAGTCTTGGCCGCCAGTGGTCTCCCGGGCTTCGGCCCCGAAGCCCCCTTCTTTTCCTCCTCTCTCCTCATCTTCAACGGTTACCTCAAGTTCATGCAGCACCTCAGGGGTTCAGCCCTCGATGCCAACAGACGACTATTCGGAGGAGTCTGACACGGATCTCAGCCAAAAGTCCGACGGACCGGCGAGCCCGGTGGAGGGTCCCAAAGACCCCAGCTGCCCCAAGGACAGTGGTCTGACCAGTGTAGGAACGGACACCTTCAGATTGTAAGCTTTGAAGATGAACAATACAAACAAATGAATTTAAATAAAAAAAATTAACAAACCAATTTCAAAAAATAGACTAACTGCAATTCCAAAGCTTCTAACCAAAAAAAAAACAACAAAAAAACAAAAACACACACAAAAAAAAAAATAGAAAAAAAAGGAAAAAAAAGAAAAGCGTGGGTTGTTTTCCCATATACCTATCTATGCCGGTGATTTTACATTCTTGTGTTTTCTTTTTTCTAATATATATATAAAACACCCCCCTGACCCCTGTTACATTGTGTCCTTTTGAAGGTACTATTGGTCTGGGAAACACAAGTCCACAGGGCCTCCCCAGCGTCTTTGGAGCTTAAACCCCTTGTATATTTGCCCCTTTTCAATAAACGCCCCCACGTTGATAGCACAGAGGAGCCCGGCATGCACTGTATGGGAAAGCAGTCCACCTTGTTCCAGTTTTAAATTTCTTGCTATCTTAGCATTCAGATACCAATGGCTTGCTAAAAGAAAAAGAGAAATGTAATGTCTTTTTATTCTCAGGTCAATCGCTCACACTTCGTTCTGTTTTCAGAATCATTGTTTTATATATATATATATATTTTTTTTTTCTTTTTCAGTTTTCTTTTTTCATTTTTGTTCCAGAAAAAAAAAATTTTTTTTGTTTTGTTTCTTAATTTAAAAACGGGCAGAAAGTATTTGAGAAAAACAATGTGAACTGCTTTAGCTTTCTGGGGATTTTAAGGATAGCTTTTCTGCTGAAGCCAATTTTAAGGTGAAAAGTTAAGCACTCCCACTTTCAGAAGAAAAAATAAACCCACACACAGAGTGTTGAGGACTTGTAGCTTAAAAAAAAATAAGTTTTAAAAACTGACTTTCTGTATTTATGATAGATATGACCATTTTGGTGTTGAGTAGATTGTTGCATTGGAAATGAACTGAAGCAGTATGGTAGATTTAAAAGGAAAATAAAAAAACCTTTTGTGTACATTTAGCTTTTTGTATGGTCCAGCTGACAGCTCTTCATTTGATGTTGTCTTGTTCATTCCTAGCAGATAGATTGCAATCCGTTGATTCACCTAAGCTTTTCTCCCCTTTGTCCCTTAATTCCACTTTCTCTTCCTTCCTCCCACCTCCTCCCATCCTATATCCTCCCACTTAAGGTAGCTGCCTTCATTTCTTAGAGGGTAGCTGCAGAATTATTTTATAAAACTAAAGAATGAATTTCAAAGGGTCCTAGGGGTCATTAGGATCCTCAGATTATTTTTGGTTGGGGAGTTGAAACTTTTTAAAGGCATATAATTCTAGTTACCTATGTCTGTTTGCCTTGTGCCATTTATTTTTTATTTATCCTTCCTTTGACTTTTCACCCTCTTTTTCCCCACTCTTTGTTTGGTAGATGCTTCAAATATTCTTTTCCTAAGCTAAAGCATTTGTTGCCATTTATGTAATTGGATTGTGTGCTTTTCTTTTCTAAAAACGTTTTGGTTAGGGGTTTGGTTTTTGTTTTGTTTTCTTTCCTCTCAGAAAAAGAAACTTCATGCTTTAAATAAAATCCAAAGACACACCCTTTCACTGCTGGTGCAGAAAAAAGGGAAAGGGTTCTTGTTACTTGAGAATTTGTTTCTGATTTAAACAAGACTTAGTTTGATAAAAGAAAGAATAAAACAAAAGATTCCCAGGTTGTTGTTTGCTTCTTCTGCAAGCAGAGAGGCAATTGTTAATTCCATATACCAAAAGACACATTTTTTTACTTCAAAGTTTTGTCCTTGTGTTAGGCAGTCTGAGCGGCGAGTGATCCAGAGTGCAGCCAACAAAGAAGCAGATAGCAATGTGCTAAGAGAAAGAATGAGACACTTGTGTTTACGTTAATGTCCATATTCCTGTGACATACAACACAACGCACCATACCCCTTTTCTCATCTAAAAAAAAAATGGTCTGAACTTTGAAAGGAAAACTTTGTGCTGCTATAATGTAGACTTTGGAGACAAATAGATGCTTTGCTGTTTCACTTTCATAGCTAAACAACAGAAACAATCTCCCCTTCCCCATCACGTGTGAAATCCTTCTCTCCTTCATTCTCTTCCTTATGTTTCAAAAGGGAACTTTGAAGACTGTGAATGCAGGTTCCATTGGTCACCTTCCAGGCTTCTTTCCCCAGTGCTGAAGCCACTCATCAACTTTGCAAAAGACTGGAGCATTCCACATCTAAAAATGGATTTCTTTTTTCTCTTCTCTTTTTTAGCCGGGACTATTTTATTTTTATGAATTTGTTTTCAGTTTAATGAAAGAGTAGATCCTGAACTGTTGTACATATTTCTAACTAGGCTGATGCACAGTGCAAATTCCTTTTTTAATTTTTTTAAAGTAGAAATACTAAAGAATACCATCTAACTATTCATACCAGTATCCAGTTGTAGCATAAGGTGTCAAAAACAAGTACGCAAAAACACTTGCTGTTTTAACAAGCTCTTTTCTTTTAACTAGAATTCTTGTATTTCTCCCTGTGTTTGAGATGAACATTTTTAAATTTTAAAGTTGTACAGTTTTTGTTTTCCATTATTTTATCTTGTTTGTAACTCTATAAAATATATATTTTTGCCATTTAACTGTTGTATGTTACTCTGTGTCTGTATCATATAGAAAAATTGTTTGTTTTTTGGTTCTCTATGTGATGATACCAATTAACAACTTAACACTAGCTTTACCTGTCAAATTCTGCTAGGTCTTTTCTGTAAACTTTGTTTTTAAAAATGATATTGCTTGGTAATAGTGCAATTTCTATCCCTTCCCCACCCCCCTCAACTTTAAGTTCATTTCCTAATAATTTTGCCACCCCTCCCCAATGGTTCTTTCCATTTTCTCCCTCCTCCCCTCCCCCCTCTCTTTTAGCTACTATGCCATCCTCCCTCTGTGCAGCAGAGTGACTGTCAGTGTTTTCTTGTGCCATGCCTTGACCTGTGGGTGTATTTGGCGACCGCAAGATGGTTGGTTGGAAAGACTGGTTAAGTAAGCATGCATCCACCGACCAGTGTTCCTCAGAGGGGTTATGTGATTGTTTCAACCTGGAGTAGGTTGCACACTAATGTTTTCCTCCACAACTCTACTGCCCACATATATGTTCCTTAAAAAAACCAACATCAATTCTCAGCATTAACCCAGAAGTATCAGAGCAGTGAGTGATGGTAAAAATTAGGGGTCAAACATAAGCTTAAAATGTTTGTGGGCTAACATCCACCCTGGCTGGGACCAGTATCATTTACAAGGCATGAACTTACTACAATGCCCAACTGTTTAGGCTGGTTTCCCTCGGAGAATTTACTCCTGTCTGTTGCATAGTAGGTAGCTGAATAGGATATCTCTACTCTTTAAATTAATTCTTCACACTCATTCACACTTCATATTTTGGTTGGTTGGTTGGTGGTTTTTTCTCCCAATACTCCACAATATGGGCTGGTGCTAGATATTTAGTCTCATAGCACCACTGACCCTCAGGATTGGAGTTATTTCATCCATCATTCATCCTTCCAAAAAAAAAAAATGTAAGAAGGAAACACACACACACACACACACACACACGGAAAAGTTTAAATCTAGAAAGGATTTTTTTTTTTAATTTAAAAGCGATTTAAAGAGATGAATGTGGCCAAAGTTTTGAAAACAAAGTAAAACAAAAGGCATGTGTTTAACCCTGAGTTTATCAGTCATGGGCAGGAAGTTGCAGGGGAGAGAGGCAGTGACCCAAGCCAGTGCACTTGATGTTCATGGACATATATTTTTTTTAAATAATAAATTAAATTAAAACATTTTAAATAGAAGCATAAATTGAGTTGGTTGGTTGTTGGTTGGCGCTGAGATACTGCCCACTGTGAAACAAAGCTTTGACTAGTTTTTTTTTGTTGTTGTTTACTTTCTCTGGGGGGAGGGGGGCAAGTGTGGGTAGGAAAGAAAGCATAAATGAACGTGACCCTGAGGTGAAGAGGTATATGAACAGCCTTTGCAATGTACAAAAAACAAAAAAACAAAAAACAAAACAAAACAAAAAAACACAAAAAAAAATAGAGCAAGTGAAACCAAAAATGATGTTCTTGGTGTTTTTCTATAATGTAGTCTTGTTAGCTTTTTTGTTACTGTAATAATGCTGATCTCGAACTGTACCAAAATACCTGGAGACTAACAAACAGAACCACATGGAACTTTCAAACTGAAAAAAAAAAATTTGTCACAAAAACTTTGTTGTCATAGTTAAGTTGATTGTAGATGGTAATTGAATATACTCCTTTGAAAATATTTCATCAAGTATGTTTCCTGCTCATTGTGATACATTAAAAAAAATATGAGCAAAAGTTCTTGTCTCTGTCATCAAATTTTGTGTGTGTTGTGTGTGTGTGTGTGTGTGTGTGTGTGTATGTGCGCACGCGCACGTGTGAGAAAGAAAAAGGATGACTGATGTAAATTTGAACAGTATCTTGAAGTTGGGTGTGCAGGGATGCTTATTCCAGGGTACACAAGCTCTTGGGAAATGGGGCCTTGTATTTACCATCTTCTGGCACTCATTGAAGCAGAGGTCACCAACCCCAATCTCTAACTAGGCTGATGCACAGTGCAAATTTGAAGGACCACTGGTGGTTCGTGATGTCCGAAAGGTTGGTGATTGCTGCATTAAAGTACCAGAGGTTTTGGCCATGACACTGACTAGCTTATTTCATTGAGAAGAGTAAGCATGATAGCTTAGATAATATTTGACCCTAGAGAATCTTAATAGCATGTAAACATTTTAAATTCAAATATTTATGTAAGAATATTAGACATAACACAATCATGAGCAAAAGTTTTACTGATGTCTAGGAGAGAGGTAAGTTCAACTTCTCTGAAGTGGTAATTGGACCCAGTGTTTGTGACAGGAGGATATGAAATGTAAGTTGAATTAAGTGGGTTATTGACTAAATTTACCTTTCCTAGGAAAGGATTTTTCCAAACTCCCTGTTAGAGCAGAATTTGAGATAAGA